TCTCTCTCTCTCTCTCTCTCTCTCTCTCTCTCTCTCTCTCTCTCTGGGTGTATACACAGACTGAGCCTTCTCTCCCTAACTGGTCTGTTACCACGTGACAGCTACAGTGCATGCATGGACAAGAACACCTTTCTTTCTTGTGATTCCAAAAAGTTATGTAGTCAACAAAATTAAGCAGACTTCTCTAATGTGGAAGTTCTCAGTTCTTCAAAATTCAAATACGCAGCTTCAATCACAAGAAAAAAATTAACAAGTTTGAGTACCTTACCTGATAGCGAGAAGTTTTCTAGATTTCTCTACAAATGTCTTCTGCGGTGACTTCTGCAGCCACTGGGGAGCTACACCTTCCAGAGTTCAATAAAAGCTCCAGAAAAATCTGTGAACTTACTTCACTTTGATTCTACAGTAACCTCTAATTTTGTTTTTTTAAGCGGATTGTTGAAATTAGCTTATTAACTCATGAGGTTTTTTTCTATATGCTTTTTCATAAATGCTGATCCCTGCTCCCCCTCCATCCCATGCTCCATCGTGTTTAATAATTCAACCCCTCTTATTTTCATTTCCATACACAGTATGATTTATGACATAGAAAGCTTCTTTATGGCTTTTCATACATACTTCTTTTGAGTTATTCCTCCATTCCACCCATAACTTCTCCCATACTCCTGTACCTTTTCCTGCCTAAGTCTTTCTGCCCCCAGTACTTCATCTCTATACTTTCATTTTACCTATAATTTACGATAATCCCTCCCTTAATATGCCTACCTTAAAGGCCCCTTTCTAATTTCCTGGCTTCCAGTTGAGCTGTAAGTTAAAGACACACACACAATGAAGTTAGCATCTACACATAAGCAGTAACATATTATTTGTCTTTCTGGGCACAAGTTGTCACATTCAGTATAATTTTCCCAACTTTATGTATTTACCTGCAGATCTTATAGTGTCACTTTTCTTTACAGTGGAGTAAGATTCATTTCACTATGCGTATATACCATATCATCCATTCATCTGTTTATGAACGTCTAAATTGATAACATTTGCTAGCCACTGTGAATAGAGCATCAGTGAGCAATCAATGTGTAAGTATCTCTGAAGTTAGATATAAATTCTGCTAGGCATATGCCCTGAAGTGGTGTAGCAGGTCATATGGCAGTTCTATTTCTAGTTTGGTTTTGTCTTGTTTTTAAGAAACATGCAGACTAATTCCCATAGCGGCCAACCTAGCTTACATGCCTTCTAACATTCTATAACTGCTCTCCTCTGGACACATCTACGCCAGCATTTGCTGCTATTTGTATCCACGATGGCCAATCTGATTGGGATGAGATGAATCTTAAGGTAGTTTTAATTTACATTTCCCTGATGCCTAAGGATGTTGGACACCTTTTAAAGTGTTTCCTATCCATTTGCATTTCTTCTCTTGGGAATTTTCCATTCAGTTCTACAGCCTATTTTAAAACGGTGTACTTTGTTCATGTTCAGTTTTTAGTGTCTTGTATAGTCTAGGTACTAATCCTTGGTTAGGTGAATAGCTGGCAAAGATTTTCTCCCATTCTGTGGGCTGCCTAGTCACTCACTTCACCGGTTCCTTTGCGGTATGGAGCTTTATGGTTTCATGATGTCACTTATTGGTTGTTTGACTAATCTCCTGTGCAACTCAAGTCTTATTCAGAAAGTCTTCATCTGTGTCTATAAGATAAGCCATACAGCTTATTTTTTCATCTAAGGATTTAAGAGCATCAAGCCTTATGTTGAAACTCAGTTTTCCCAGCATCATTTGTTAAAGATGGTGTCTTTTCTCCACTGTACATTTTTGGCACCTAAATCAAGTGACCGTGACTGTGCGAATTTTTATGCTTTTGTATAAATCCTTTGTTTTCGATGTCTGTGAAGAATGGCATTAGAATTTTTACTGGGGTTGCATTGAATCTGTAGAGTATTTGTGGCTGGATGGTCACATTTACATGAATTCTTCCAAGTACTGAGCATGAGTTAGTTGCCTTTCCATCTTTCAGTGAAGAAATCCTCAATATCCTTCTTAGGTGTCCTAAAAGTCTCAGCAGAGATTTCTTGTTTCTTTGATTAAGTTTCTATGGTTTCTTTTTTCAGTCTGTTTGCCACTGGTATATTTAAAAAGCTATTGATTTTATATGCTGTTTTTATGCTAACACTTCATTGA